CGCCTGCACAAACCGCATTAATTTAGCTTTCACGACCTTTCTAAACATATATGTAAAGCTTAAAACTAAATCGCCCTGTACAACAGTGAAAAGGCGCAACCAACATGCTGGAGCCATATGGCTCCACCATGCTGGTGTCGCCTTTTTGCTGGTATAGGATGTCCCATATTACGTTATGCATGTATGGTTCCGTCCGCCTACATGGTTCCGCCTTAATCCACTACGCTGGTATAGGATGTCCCATAATACGACATGCTTGTATGGTTCCGCCCACCTGTATCGTTCCGCCTTATTCCACTATACTGGAGCCGCCTTTTTCGCTTGTATAGGATGTCCCATATTACGGTTACGCTTGTATGAGCCTTTCCGTCATCTTTCCATCGTCGAGATTTTCCAACAGGGTGGTAGCCATGTTGAAGTGACCTGAGACTGGGGAAACATTAAAAACGTGGAAGGAACCGAAGGACGTCTCACACCCGGCTAACTCCTTTATTTAGCCTCAAGGTCATCACCACCAACGCAGAAGGACAAAGTCTACACAGTTCAAGTGCCACAACCACCATCACACGATGTAAGAATGACATTGTGCGATGCAAGAATGACAACCTGGGTTAATCATTTGTGACTGAACAGAAACATTTCTATATAGCAAAATTATTTATAAATCCCCTCAATAAGGTATAGGTGGGAATCTCATGGCTTTAGTTTTGTGTCAAACGCATCGTTTACTTGTCATCCCAATGTAGGCATTGGACCTCGAGCCCACAGTCGAGAAATATAATTAAATTATAATCAACTTAAAAATGGACAAGTGGAAGCTTGGGAACAACCATCATGAATTCAGCAAGGTTTTTAATTAGGCATGGTGCAGTAGTGAGAGGTGGGAGGAAGTGTTTGATATTCAATTAAAAAATATTCGGCCAAAACTACTGAATAGCTTCTGATTCGCTTTGAACTCGAATCCACTCTTTGCACGTGCCTAATACCTTAAATTGGGTGGAGTGGGCACTCCTTGCACGTGCCTAATACCTTAAATTGGGTGGAGTGGGAACAAAAACAGCATGAAATAAGGACCTAATACAAATGGCAGACTTCCTTCAGCAGTATTGCACAAGAAGCATGTTTCTTGGCTATCCGGCAGCTGGAACATGGGGATAAAGCATCACCCTGCCCGAATTCCATTTCATGACTTCAGTGTGGCTTGCGCTTGATACAAGCACGATAAATTCAGTTGTATCAAGTTGAATATTCTTAGGATGGATGCTTGGGCGAGTAGGGTATTTGTATAGGTGTGCGTACATTTTCAGTGCGAGTTTAATTTTGCGCTATTTCCTACATGAATTGAATGTTTTCCTCAGACGTCGACGGCGTCTAAGAGGACTTGGTAAAAGGTGACTAGAATCGATTGACAACATGAGAGCATAGTATACGTACCTGCTCCATACAGAGGACCGAGATTTCGGCCGCCATTCGGAAGATCCTTAGGTGGTCGAAATTATTTCCTGGTATTTCGCCGGGGGAGTGCCAGATGCCCTTGTTGGTTTGGCACATAAAAGACCCAAATTTTACTTTTGCTTTTGCGCTCCAACGTGATTTTTAGGCCGCTGCATAAGGGGGCTTCAAGACAACGCGGGCCAAGCGCAGCACCCAGTGGGCAGACACGTTGGCGATCCCGTCATTTCTAAGGCTATCTGGCATCCTGCCTTTTCAGAGAAGTCCGGGGCCGTAGGCAAGGCAGCCAAGCTGATGTTGAATCAGAGCAAGAGCTTCGAGGCTGCAGACATTCTCACCTCCTGCAGCCTGTCTCGGAGAGCCTTGAAAAAGCTGTAAGCGCACCGTGGGCTGTATTCCTTCAGCCGTGCCTGGGCCGTGTGTGCACGCTCAAACCTGAAGCAACAAGAGTCGGAAGCTCGCACCGATAGCTAAAGGAATCCTCTTCCGTCCCTATCCTGCCAGTGACTGGTTACATGAGGGCACATGAGAAAGCAAGGTCCTCAATGCCGAATGTAGTGGATAAGGATTGCATAGTCAGTCTCTCTCTAGCTCACTAACTAACATTCTTGGTCGAATGCTCAAGATGCCGAATGTGGTGGATGAGGATTGCCTAGTCAATTTCGCCCTAGCTCACTAACAAACATAGGTTGAATGCTCGAGATGCCGAATGTAGTGGATGAGGATTACCTAAGCAGTCTTGCCCTAGCTCACTAACAAATATTCTAGGTTGAATGCTTGAGATACCGAATGTGGGGGATGAGGATTGCCTAGTCAGTCTTGCCCTAGCTCGCTAATAAACATTCTAGGTCGAACGCTCGAGATGCCGAATGTAGTGGATGAGGATTACCTAACCAGTCTTGCCCTAGCTCACTAACAAATATTCTAGGTTGAATGCTTGAGATACCGAATGTGGGGGTTGAGGTTTGCCTAGTCAGCCTTGCCCTAGCTCGCTAATAAACATTCTAGGTCGAACGCTCGAGATGCCGAATGTAGTGGATGAGGATTGCCTAGTCAGACTCTCCCTAGCTCACTAACAAACATAGGTTGAATGCTCAAGATGCCGAAAGTAGTGGATGAGGATTGCCTAATCATTCTTGCCCTAGCTCACTAACAAATATTCTAGGTTGAATGCTTAAGATACCGAATGTGGTGGATGAGGATTGCCTAGTCAGTCTTGCCCTAGCTCACTAATAAACATTCTAGGTCGAACGCTCGAGATGCCGAATGTAGTGGATGAGGATTGCCTAGTCAGCCTCGCCCTAGCTCACTAACAAACATAGGTTGAATGCTCGAGATACCGAATGTAGTGGATGAGCATTGCCTAGCTCACTATTAAACATTCTACGTCAAACGCTCGAGATGCTGAATGTAGTGGATGAGGATTGCCTAGTCAGACTCGCCCTAGCTCACTAACAAAAATAGGTTGAATGCTCGAGATGCCGAATGTAGTGGATGAGGATTGCCTAATCAGTCTTGCCCTAGCTCACAAACAAACATTTTAGGTCGAACGCCTGAGATGCCAAATGTGGTGGATGAGGATTGCCTAGTCAGTCTTGCCCTAGCTTACTAAAGGCCCGTTCACACGATGCATTTTTCTCGCGCATCTAGTGTCGCGAAATGTAGTTTCGCGAAATGGTTGCGCCGTTTGAACGAGTCCGAAAAGGACGCGCGCATCTAAAAAAAAGTTGCGCGCACACCTCGCTTCTGGAGCGAGCTTTTGCTGAAACTGTGCCGAGTCCTGTCAATCACTCTGAGGGCACCGCCAATGGCCGCTCAGAAACGCTCTCACGTGGCCTTTGAGGGGGAGCGAGCTGTTTGAGAAGACCACTTTACTGCCGGTGTTGTAGCGGAGCCAAATTCGAAAAAAAACCGAAAACGCGAACGATGGATACTGCCGGCGCTTCCGCAAGCACGTCAAGCACCACCGAAGGAAAAGTGAGTAGCATATCGGAAAAAAATCCAGCGATGGACGAAGACCATTAGTGGGAGTTGGCGAGATTACAATAATGCTCATAGCGTTATTGTCGCGACGATATCGCTGGATATGAGACCATCGAGTAAACTGAAATCAAGTTTGCTTTGTTTACAAGCGAACGTAAAAGCATGTGCGCTCTCTGAAACAGTTGGCACAGTAAACTCAGGGCAGACATGGGCGCCGAGAAGCAACCAGAGTGGGCACGTAGCGTTTCTATGAATACCATGTGCATTGATAGGAGCTTCGGCAATGAATTGGCTGCGTACGGGCTCGGCGCCGGCACATGTCTGGCAAGTGCAGGTTGCCGCCTCAATCGGCTTAGCGCACACGCGAGGTCGCTCCAAGTAGTGCAGTACGTGAGAAAAAAAAAAAATAAAATGAATTGACTGCATAAAATGCGCGAAGCAGGTCCCCAGATAAATAGCGATCTGATTCGTAGCTCACTCAAAGTGGTGCATCGGTGTGTGTTGTTATTGCACGTGAAGCGGTACGTGTGAACGAGCACATTTTGCGAAACTGTTGCGTGCCTAAAAGATGCAATCGTGTGAACAGACCTTAACAAACATAGGTCGAATGCTCGAGATGCTGAATGTAGTGGATGAAGATTGCCTAGTCAGTCTCGCCCTAGCTCACTAACAAACATTCTAGGTCGAACGCTCAAGATGCTCAATGTGGTGGATGAGGATTGCCTAGTCATTCTCGCCCTAGCTCACTAACAAACATTCTGGGTTGAATGTCTGAGATGCCAAATGTAGTAGATAACGAGCGGAGCCCGGCTTTGTCGACTCGCAGCCAGCGGTCACGCCAACGTATCTTCGCTCGAGGCTGCCGCCGTCGATACTCATCTTTTTTTTTTTCTGGGTGCAAGTTTGCCAATCAAATCTTTATTTTCTGTTGTACGCTCGTCTGTTTCTAGCTGCAACTGTTACGGACAGTTTGTTTGTTTGATCACGGACGTGCACTGAAGCAACTGTGCTGTCAGAGATCCCTCTGCTGCACTTTAACCTTGATACACTTCACATCGTCATCGTCGTACATTATTTTGCATTGTAGTGTTTTCACCTTCTCAAATATTAGTGATGGGACGAATCACCAGAGATTCGGATTCACCCAGATTCGGAAATTTCTCAACTTCCCGCGACGAATATTCGTCAGATTCGTCGTTGGTTGCAGATGGCGGCGTGAACCTCGTCGTAAACCTTGCGAATGCGGTCAGTTCTGTTTTTTCTAGGTACTGTTACTGCATATAACCAGATTTCGTCTTGTTTCAATGTATGGTATGTACTTACTGTACTGTCATTCTAAACCCTGGCACGTGCCCAGGTCCAGCTGAGCTGATCGGTGAGGTTGACATAAGCCTAACCGATGCACGGTCTCAGTTTCTGTGCAGTTTTGCGGTGATCGGTAAAATGAAGCGGAATGCTGCGTATTATACATAATGTGGTGCAATTCACATTATATTCAGGCAAGGAAATTATTTGTCTCCTTCTCTAGAGCTGCTCATGTCTGTACCTGTAAGGCGCGAGAGCGAGATGAATGTTGCTCATCCCAACTTCAAACGCGTACCGGCACCAATGATGAAGAAGAACGTCGCACTGTCGTTTGTCCGTGAAATTTATTTGATGAAAAAGAAACCCAACACAGGGGTGTCCAATGCAACTTTATTGTTGAGAAACAAACACTAACTCAATGGGATATCATTAACCAGAAAGGTGCAAATGCAGTACAGGAGACTCATAGTTCGGCGGAAGGAGTTTCGGAATTGTTTCCCGTGTTTCGATCATACATGGGTAAATTACTTTCAAAATGTAATTTAATCGCAATTAGAATTACTTTGCTCCAAAATTAGTTTAACTACAATTACAATTACTACTACCGTAAAATCCTGAAATAGCGCCCACACTCGATAGATCGCCCACTCCGCTTTTATGTTCGAACACGTGTTTCCCTCGAATACTGATAGGTCGCCCACCTTCCAAAAATAGCGATGCCCGAAGGTTGAGAAAGGTGCCGGAGGGTAGGGGAGAAGGTTTGGAAAGCCTAGGATTCCCTTCACAAAAAGAAGAGGCCACACACAATAAGGGAGATAAGATAACGGAAGGAACCCGGAAATCGGTCAAGGTCACTTATTGAATGACATCAGGAAAGCGTTGAAGGTCACTTAGTGGTTGTCGTCAGATCGCCTGAGAACCCCAGAAGATCTTTCGACCAGCAAACTGTGAAGACGTTTCTTGTGTATACTCGGGATGAGGTCCAGCTATACCATCCAGAAGAAAGTGGAAGTCGTGGAATGGCACCGCAAGAACGGAGCTAACGTGAGCAAGACTGCGCGCCATTTCGAAGTTGACCGGAAGCGTGTACGGGAATGGAATACGAGCTATCAAGTACTTCTACAACAATGCCATGGAACGAACAAGTTGAAGAGAGCAATAGGTAGGGGACGACCCGTTTTTAGTGAAGAAATCGACGACGCACTAATGGACTTCCTGGAGACTGAGAGATCCGCCGGTCGAGCAGTCAGCAATCGCCTGCTTCAAGAGCATGCGCGGAAACTGGCAGAACAGATGGGCCTAGGAAACTTCCGAGCGTCATGCCAGTACATAGCTAACTGGAAGAAGCGATTTAATGTGTCTATGCGGGTGGGGACCAACGAAAGTCAGAAGCTGCCTGCCGACTACGTTGAAGCAATTACGGTGTTCCGAAAGGCTGTGTCAACTCTGCGCCTGGAGCACAACTACTCGGACTACAACATAGCCAACATGGATCAGACTATGGTCCGGATGGATTGCCCTGCTGCGAGAACCAACAATGCTGTCGGCGAGTCGAGTATTCGCATCGCCAACACCGGCTGTGCTCGGCGGGGGATGACGGTGGCCTTGTGCGCGACGGCAGCGGGCATCAAGCTAGCTGCTTTGATCGTACTGAAGGAGCCAACCGGCCGGATTCCCCCCAGAGTACTCTTTTCTCTAAGGATTCCAGGTATGTTGTAATTAATCACCATTCAGGGTATAAATGTCGAAACAAAGCCTTAAAAATACGTAAAAATAAGGCTGACAGCATTTTTTTTTTCAAATTGAGCGACTGTTGCGTCATCCATTGACAAAACGCCCGTTTTGTTTTGTATCGCCCCATTTCCGAAAGATGGCGTAGCCGTTCTGGCCGGCGCCATCTTGAGCACACGAGCAGTTGGCGCGTGACTTGCTGGCTTTCCGAAGCTTACTCACTTGCGCGTGCTTCTGCGCTCGGCCATAAAATCGGGCAGTTCGCATATCTTCACTCATCGGCGTAGCATGTGTAATGTGCGTTTGGGGCCCGAACTGTTATTTCATGTTATACTTGTTGTACTTGCAGCAAATGTGCGAGTTACTTCCAAGAACGGTTGGATGACCTCTCCCGTCCTACTGGAGTGGACTAGGAGAGTTTGGGGCCCGAACGCCGACGACGTGAGGAGACTGCTCATACTGGACCAAGCACCCATACACAAGACAGAGGCGGCCCGAGAAGCGCTCGACGCAACCCTATTGGAAAAACGTGCAAGAAACAAACCTGCTGTTTGTACAGTTCTGGTATGACACCATCGTAATTTCTTTGTGTTACGCATGCAGCTAGTTTGGTTTGGCGTTCTGCATAACTGGAGATACCGGCACCGCTATGGCTCCGGGTCTGTCTATACTGGCAGCCACTTTGCTTGCCGATATGATTCGGTGTGGCTGGTATGATTTTGCTTCCGATGACGTAGGCGACTGCCGTCGTTCCAACAAAAACGCTTATACCACAGGACCACCGGTATAACCAAATCATACATGCAGAAAGGCGACCGCCATCTTCCAACAAAAACGTCCATCGTTCACCACCGCTCTCGTTACATACACCATACATGTCGAAAAAGAACATAAGCCACGTTTACACGAATGCGACTTAGTCGTATTGAATCCAGTTGCCGCATTCAATATGCGGTCATGTAAACGGCATAATGCGCAAAGCGCATCGCATTTTGGAACGGGGAGGATTATCGGAAGGCGCTCGCTGCGGGAGCGAGTGAACAGCTGAGAACATGGCGGCGGCCAACCTCGTCGGCGGCGCGGAGAGCGGTCCCGCAATTTTTTTCCCGAGAACGCAAGCTTTTATTGCGATCATAAGTAAGCGGAATATAGCGGAGCTGCTCGGTGAGGGCGGCCCCGTCCAAACCTTTGCGAAGTACGACTTGCGCGTCCGAAGGGGTCACAAAGGCTTCGGTGCAAGCACGAATGACACCGAGAGCTCCGAGCACTGTAGAGCACTGCATGGTAGCGCAGAACGAGCAGCTCCTACCTCGGTGCAGTTCCTGGCTCCGCAAGAGCCTCTAGGACTTGGGGTCCGGTTGGTCTGGTCGCGATCGGCGAGGTCTAGCGCGGCGAAACGCGGAGGCTTCCTCAAAGCGTGCACACACACGTCGCCTCTCGTTCAGAGTGAACCGGCGGCCCGGCCTGGAGTCCTAAACGCCTTCCGTCTCCCAACTTCTTCCACAGCACCGAAGACAGCGGGCACGATCTTTACGTTCACTGAATGCGTCGAAAGGCCTCCACGTGCGATGCACCGGAAAACGTGGTGCGGCTGGTGCCGGAACGGAACTGCATAACTTCGAGCTTTGAGTCAACGTGCACGGCAACAAACTGATCGTGACACCAAGCCGCGGATACCTCATCGCCGGTCGACAGCGGCAAACGGCCCGTTGCTCGTATCGTGGGCCGTGACTCGTACTCGGCCAACTTGGCGTTTTTTCGTGGCCCCTCGCGTCGTCGCAGCCAGCCACAAACCCGACAAACCCACCAGCCCGAAACCGTAGCGACCGCAGCCTGCGTTGGAGAAAAGCGAAACCGAAACTTAAAGCTTCCGCCCAGTGGCTTCCGCTGCCGCGGGTTTTCTAGCTTCGCGGCTTCCACTTCCGGTCGTCGCGGAGATGGCGAAGAAAGAGCGGTGTGGGGGTTCGTTGGCTCGTTTACGGTTACGGGACAGATGTTTTGCGGTCCGTTTCTACTGCGTCTCTGGCTCTCAACTGGACGGCACCTCTCATAGTCCAACCAGGCGTGGTCAGCCTGCGTCAGGCCGGCTCGACTCGTCCGATCGCCGGACCGCAGGCGACTTCCAAGTACGGCCGTTAGGCCTAGGATCCGTGAAACGGTAAGCGAATCTCGTCCCGTTTTCGTTCTACTTTTAAATTACGTTAGGTGCGCTACAGTATAAGCATGCGTGCCAAGTGTTCGTGACAATTTTGAACTAGAATAATTGTGCTTCATTGCGGTCATTTGCCGAAAATGTAAATCGAGCAATGAACGAGGAGCCATGCTTGAAAACGGTGTATGTACGATGTTAACTTCTACCTGGGCGGCTAAAAAAAAAAAAAGTCAAGACTGGTTACGGTTGGATGCGAGGCTGGTCCCAATGCAATGGTAAGCACTTAGAGCGCCTTTCTGAACGGCATGTTAGCAATATAGCGATCAACGAGACGAGCGACGGCGAGAAGCTACGAGAGCCGGCGCCGAGCGCCGAAGATTTCTCACTCTCGCTGCTTGCGCCGCTCGGTTCTTGGGCTTCTAGAAAACGTCGCTCATCGCCTTGGTCGCTCGCACCAATCGCTTTCATAATGTGTGTCTCGTCGCGCGGCTGACTGCCGTGTTTATTCGAATATAAGTCGACTTTTTTTTTTTTTTTTTTTCTTCTCGGAAATTGTGACTAAAGAATTTCGACACCTACATTCGCGACCAAATTTTGCGACCCTACCGGAGGCATGAAGCTATCGAGTCACCGAGCCGGCGTTGCCGTAGAGCCGCGCCGCTTCTTGTTTCAAAAAGCTTTTGGTTGCCGAAATGGCTCGCCGCCCGCGGTGGCCGGTCGGGCGTCGGATTTCGACATCGCGCCTCTAGCGTTCCCCTTGCTGGGCAACGGGTAAGGAGAGGAACGCGATGCGCCATGCACTTTACCCTCCATCCTCGCAAACGCGCACACAAAAAAAAATGTTATTTTTGTTAGTTGCTTGAGGCGGCTCGGCTCGCGTGTTGCTCATGGCGACACGGCGGCTTTGCTTGCGTCTTTGTAGTTTGTCTTCCGTCGCTTCGCACCTTTTTTCGTTTCTTGTCATTTTACAACGGTGTCAGTGAAGTATTGCTGCGAATTTGCGAGGATGTCTACCCAGCTGACGAAGCTTGGGACGATGATAACATGTCCAGAAGTTCTGACGGTGATGAAGTGTTTGGCATCGCCCCGTGATTTAGCCGAGAGTGATGCAAATAAAGGTTTTTTTCTTTCTTTTGCCCAAAATTTCCCCTGTTCTTAAAAATAAAAAAAAAAAGATCGACCTATATTTCAATTCTTTTTTTTTTTTTTTTTTCTGGGTGGATCCAATAAATAGGGTTCGACCTATTTTCGAGTAAATACGGTAACTTTAATTTTTATTTTGGGTTACGTCGGACGCAACTCGAATGCTTGACAGTTACGTTGGGCGTAACTTTAATTTTTATTTCGGGTTCCGTCGGACGTAACGTTAGACACTCCGTTACACTTAAGGAAAATAGGGGCTGCTGGTTCATCATATAAAGTTATAAACCAACCATTTGTGTTTAATTAAAATGCATCACTGACCTCAAAAAAAAAAAATACTGCTATCCTAGAGTTTATGCTATAGGAATGTAGCGCTTCAGATAAATTTGTCAATTTTTACTTTTAGTCCCTGCCCCCTCCAGATACAACATCTGGCCTAAAGCAGTGTTCCGGATCTCCTTCCAAGACCTCAGGCGGGTCGTCATTCAATCCATGAGTCGGCGGCGTCTCATGGGCGTGTTGCTGGTGCTTACTGGATGGTGCTACCGAGGGAAAAGTGGTCGTGCTTGGGCAAGGCAAGTATGGCCGCCGTAATTATAGATATTGTTTTTACCTTTGCTCGAATCCACTTTTAAGAAATGCACAGTTCGCATGTGTGCATCTCTCAATGTTTCCACAGTCGGCTGTTTTTTTTTAGTGCTCTAACTCTGTCAGCGCTAGTTTCTCTAGATCATGCAAATGGGATGCAACACTAAACCACATATGCTCTCGCAACAAACAGTGCTGTGCAGAAGCACAGTGGAATTTACTCTAGCTTTATAATGCAGCACAAAATGGTTGACTCCAAGTATAGCTACTTTTGTGACTCCGTTTAACCAAAAGCTCTGCCGAAACAAACTTGCCGCCTTATAGGTAGTGCAAAAGAACCTCGCGTGCCTAACCTGGAGAAGGGCATTTTTTTCATAGGTCAATTTTTCCTTAAACCAATACCTTCAGCCTCCTTGAAATGTTAACATTATGTGACACACGGAAGAACAGTAAACCCCTTAATGTTGGCGACCCTTTAATTTTCGTGGCCTGTAATTTTGCGGAATTCAGTGGCTGCGATTATGTCCTCTGTGACCGATTCGAGAAGAAATAGGGGCCAACAAGATAAGGGGGTTTTACTGTACATCGGAGGAGAGAGGAAGTCACTTTTGTTTGTATGCAAGAGTAAAACCAACAACAATCATGGTGTCGACACTTTGTGAGCCTATCTGTGTCTATTGAATGATATCAATTTTGTTTTAGTTCGTTAAACTTTGTTGCCTGTACACTGTGGGATGTCGTCTTCAACAGGAGCAGTGGTTTTCCTCTGAAGCACTCAGCATGGACGCGTGCCGCAGCACAACATAGTTCATTTGCAGGTGGTACCGCAGGTTGAAGGATGGTTGGCACGATATGGGGGAATCACAATTCAATGTTCTACCTCGGGCGTAGACAAGATTTGCTTATTCTAAATCATTTTGTCTAAAAATCTGGGATTTGCGATGAATGTACCCGCATGGTTGGAAGGGCCAGACAAGCCTTGTGTAGCGCTTCATTTTCTAGCGTCTCAGTCGTGAACCCACTCACGCACCACATGTGTAGATGTTCCGATAGGTGGGAGCACTTATTTGGAAAATGGTGAATGGCAACTGTTATCTTTATCAGACTTCTGTATTATGGTCAAAGTTGGACTGCATATT